ACTTGAAATTTGGATATTTGCACTTGAGAAGACTAACTCTAAGACAATCTCCCAATGTTAGCCCAACAGATCTCAACTAGACACAGATTAACTGAAACAGAAACGGAGGACATGTGCTTTGAATGGGATTGTGGTATGTACACATCCCATACAGGGATCAGTTGAGACATCCAAAATGTGTGCCTTCAATCACTGACACATAAGTGGTTGAAAAAGTTAAGGTAAGAAAAACATTTAATGTAAGATCCATCTTTCCCTAAACAAGGATATAAACTGTTTTCAAGCCTACCACAATGCAAAATAAAGAGTTTGTGAACCAAAAACTGAACTAAACTAAGTGAAAAGTTCCTCTTCCACCATGCCGGTTCCACTGGTGGGTTTGTCATGGCTGCGCTTTATTTCAGCATTCATGTATGACGTTGTTGTGCAGTATGGAAAAAAATGCTCTTTGAAATTACTTGAGGAAAGTCAAAGTTTAATGGGTTAAAAATAATGTGTTTGATAAAATAAACAAGCAAAAATACCGGATGTAGCAAAAATGATTCAAATTAGAACTCATATATGCAAATTGATATTTAATTTCTTTTTTTAAATCTGTCAGAAGGTTCAATACACAATAATACAATAAATACAATTTTCTGGCAATTATTTCATGGTTCAGGCACTACAGGGTTAAAGGTGGTCCTAACATGTGTTAGCTCAGGAGAGCTTAACTTCTCAAAATTTAAATGGACAATTAACTCTAAATGCCACCTTAACTTTCCCCAAATTTAGGTCATATGCCTAAATTTGCTGAGAATGGGATTGGGCAGAGGAGAGGAGGAAGGAGGTGTGGGGAAGGAGGATAGACATAAATCAGCTATATGACAGAAAGCTTTGGTCATAAAGCTGTCAGAGCTCAGCAGATTCTCCTCTCTGTGCTGATGGAGACCTTGGAGGGAAGTGAACTCTGCTTTCCACAACTCCTCAACACCTCCTGCAGGAAGATTGGGGGTGCTCACTTTGAGACCATGCTGATTAACATTCTGCTGTCCTCCATCTCTCTGATCACTGCAGTTCTTAACCTGCTGGTCATCATCTCTATCTCCCACTTCAAGTAGATAATCATTCATTTATGAAATGGACAGAAAGTAAAAAAAAAAAAATTTGGCTGATCTTAGGAAAAGAATAATTTTCGAACTAATCTAATTATATTTCAGTCTTTGCTCTATCTGTTTCTGTTTAAACAATGATTGATATTATAACTAATGATAACTATATTGCTGGTCTTCCTCTCCAGGCAGCTCCACACCCCCACCAACTTCATCCTCCTCTCTCTGGCTGTCTCAGATTTCTTCATGGGTTTCGTAATGTGCTTTCAAATGATGTACTTAGATGGCTGCTGGTTCTTTGGTGACCTCATGTGTGCATTTGGTCAGTATCTAGTATACGTAGTTACCTCTGCCTCAGTTGGAACCATGGTGATTATATCTGTTGACCGTTATGTTGCTATTTGTCATCCTCTGCATTACTCCACCAAAGTCACAGAAAAAAGAGTTATAGTCTGTATTTGTCTGTGTTGGATATGGCCTCTAATCATTCAAGGTCTGAGTCTAATTGATGTCCTGGAACAACCAGGCAGGTATAACTCCTGTGTTGGAGAGTGTATCATTGTTGTTAACTATATAGCTGGATTTGTAGATCTTATTTTTACCTTCATCGTTCCCATTACTGTCATTGTAGTTCTGTATATGAGAGTTTTTGTGGTGGCTGTGTCTCAGGCTCGTGCCATGCGGTCACATATTGCAGCTGTCACACTCCAGAAATCAGTGAAAGTAACTGCTAAAAAATCTGAAATGAAAGCAGCCAGGGCTCTTGGTGTTGTTGTAGTTGTGTTTCTAATATGTATCTGCCCATATTATTGTGTTGCTATTACAGGCCAAGATAACTTACTCAATGTTTCATCTGTTGGCTTGATAATATGTTTGCTGTGTTTAAACTCCTGTCTAAACCCCATGATCTATGCCTTTTTTATCCCTGGTTTAGAAAATCCATTAAGCTCATTGTTACATTAAAGATACTGCAGCCTGACTCCTGTGAGACCAACATACTGTAGAGAGACTCTGTGTAATGCCTGAGATTTGTCTTTGCATTAATAGAAAAATTTACTTGGTCATGGAAATTGCCATTCTGTTTATTAATATAACAGTGGAGCTATTTGGGGTTTGTCCATCTGCATGTATTTTGGACAAATCACCACGTCTAGGATTCACTGTACAGTCTGTAGGTATCAGGACTGTGACACATTTTTGTTATGCTGACTGTATGCTTAAGCACAGTGGATGTGGAAGTTTTATATCCACATTAAAAGAAAAGTGTAGGCAGTTGTACCCTGTATTATACATGACTGAAGTCTGGGACCCACAGACATTAGCCGATACTTTGTATTGTATCTACCTGGAGATGTTGTGCCAGGCCTGTAATGCAGCCATTTTGTATGTGAACACCTTTAAATACAAGCCCATTTAAAGCTAAGAGTCAGCAATTAATAGTAACCTCAGAAGCTGAAGAAATACAGAATATATTTTTTATCATCATTAATTTGTGGCATACAGGCCAATTTAGCACAACCTTTGACTTATATTATATTGTCTTTTACTTGTTCTGATTTCTTGCATTGTACAGGCTAGAAGAGAAAAGTTAATGAAAAAAGAAGGATATACTATATATAATATACACTCCATCTGCAAGGAATTGTTTATCAGCTTCATAAATTAAAAAAGGTCCAGTGTGTAACATTTAGAAGGATCTATTGTCACAAACTGACAACAATGCCAGTAAATCTTTCACAGTGGACCTTTAACTAAGTGATTCCATAAAAAACTCCTGAATCCTGACAAACATACATATCACTCGCAGACCAAAAGTTAATGTCGCATACAGCCTTGGAATTGAACACAAATAATGTGAGCACCACTACAGTTTGCATATTTTCCCTAACAATGACGACAACGACAGTCTGCTAGTCGGCCCACCACTGTGGTCCAGAGTGAAATATCTCAACAACCCCTGATTGATTGCCATGAAGTTGTGTATTTACATTTAAGTTGTACAATTGGTGAGATAATGCATTGGTGACGCTTTTGACTCAAAGGTCAAGGTAATAGTGACCTCAAAATTAACTTGACGAACAGTTTTAGTCATAACCCTTACCTTTACACTACCCAAAAGGTGAAAGGTCATCTCCACTCTGAAATCATAATGTCCTGGAAAAATACTTTTTGTTGTTTATTGTCATTCAACACCATAACTCTGGAAAAGAAGGAGAGATTGCAGTGTTATTTCACAGTCAGTGAAGGGCCTGCTGTATTTTTCCCTTGCTGTTGTCATGAATGCCTTGGGAGCACCTGGGCAGTCTCCCAGGGGCATTTAAGGTCCAGCTACCTGTCATTCACTCTCTCTTTGTTTCTCTGGCACCATGTTTCTGTTTGGTTGGACTCTGCCTGGTTATTAGTTGGATTTTGCACCTTACTACACCCTCACCCATCACTTATTCCCTCATGCACCTACTGACACGCTGATGTTACTGATTATCACATCTTATTGTTTTCAACATATTTCCTGTATATTATTTGAGTTGCATTATGGTTAAGTTAAACAATGGTACATCTTTAAGTTTAAAACAGTTTAAAGTTTAAAAGAGAGATTGAAGCGTTATTTCACAGTTATTGAAGGGCCTGCTGTATATTTCCTTTGCCCTGGGAGAACCTGGGCCGTCTCCCAGGGGCATTTAAGGTCCAGCCGTCCCGTTATTCACTCTCTCTTTGTTTCTCCGGCACCATGTTTCTGTTTGGTTGGACTCTGCCTGGTTATTAGTTGGATTCTGCAACTTACTACACCCTCACCCATCACTTATTTACTTATACAACTACTGACACACTGATATTACTAACTACCACATCTCATTATTAGTCTCTTCAGTATATTTCCTGTATGTTATTTGAGTTGCATTATGGTTAAGTTATACAATGGTACATGTTTAAGTTTAAAACTGTTTCCCTCCTATTTATGCATGGTCCACAAGACGGGAAATGACAGCTGGTCACTTTTGACTTAAAGGTCAAAGGTCATTTTGACCTAAAAATAGGTTTTTAGCCATAATTTAAGAATGGATTGGTCGATTGCAGATTTCAAACACACACGCTGACTGGGACGACACAATAAGTGAGCAATAACTAACACAGTATGGGCTTTCATCTTTCCACCTTATCCATTCTCCTATTCACTTCTGTAGGTGCTATGATAAATCACAGTGGTACCATACAGTGGTGTAATTGTAGCGTAATCAATTAATTTTGGTCCTCATTATAATAGAAAATGACTTTAATTAATATTAAAGTTCCTCGGGGCACCACCCTGAAATAAGGAAAAACTGAAGCCAATAATTAATTGATCAGTCTCATAAAAAACACTAAACTATTAATTCAGAAATTGGATTAACCCTAACCCATCGCGTGCCATCAAGCAGCATCAAGTAACGGTCACAGGAAGTGACCGAATGAGGTGACAGGAAGTGACCTGTCACAATAAAAGTCCAGTTAACCACACCAAATGAATGAGTTCATATTTAAAGGCCCCCCTTTACCTTATACTTCCTGCCTCATTCTGAATTTCGAGTGTCATCTGAATCATGTGATTACAAACTTATTGGAGCGCGCCTAGCTGACGATGATCCTGGGAGTGAGTTATACCTACAGCTCATGTTCAGCTCAGGGATCATTTGCGTCTAAAAATGTCATGATAAAACAAAAGCACCACATTTTGTGTCTGTGCTTCTCAAGAATCCATCCCTACGTAATAAACAAGTACACGTGTGATGTATATTCACTAGAATCATACATATCTTCAAAAAATTCCAGAAGTGAATTTGACATTAAAGTTTTGAGTTCTACAGATTTGGAGATTCCGCCTAAAACGTCCTTTACTAAAACCTCTGTAACTTTGCTTTGCTTCACTGTATTAAAAGCAATCTTGGCACAGGTAATGTTCAGATATTACAATAATAAAAGTACAATGCAATCACACAAAATGAACAAATTGGTATTTAAAGGTCCCAGTGATTCCAACATATATTAGCTCAGGAGAGCTCAACTTTCAACACAGTTTAAATGGACAATTAACTCTAAATGACACCTTTACTTCATACATCATATTTAGTGAAAGAGACAGGTCATGTGCTGAGAATGGGATTGGGCAGAGGTGAAGAGGAAGGAGGTGTAGACAGGGAGGATAGAGATAAATCAGTTGTGTGACAAAAAGGTTTGGTCATAAAGCTGCCAGAGCTCAGCAGCTTCTCCTCTCTGTGCTGATGGAGACCTTAGAGGGAAGTGAACTCTGCTTTCCACAACTCCTCAACACCTCCTGCAGGAAGATTGGGGGTGCTCACTTTGAGACCATGCTGATTAACATTCTGCTGTCCTCCATCTCTCTGATCACTGCAGTTCTTAACCTGCTGGTCATCATCTCTATCTCCCACTTCAAGTAGATAATCATTCATTTATGAAATGGACAGAAAGAAAAAAAAAAAAATTTGGCTGATCTTAGGAAAAGAATAATTTTCGAACTAATCTAATTATATTTCAGTCTTTGCTCTATCTGTTTCTGTTTAAACAATGATTGATATTATAACTAATGATAACTATATTGCTGGTCTTCCTCTCCAGGCAGCTCCACACCCCCCACCAACTTCATCCTCCTCTCTCTGGCTGTCTCAGATTTCTTCATGGGTTTCGTAATGTGCTTTCAAATGATGTACTTAGATGGCTGCTGGTTCTTTGGTGACCTCATGTGTGCATTTGGTCAGTATCTAGTATACGTAGTTACCTCTGCCTCAGTTGGAACCATGGTGATTATATCTGTTGACCGTTATGTTGCTATTTGTCATCCTCTGCATTACTCCACCAAAGTCACAGAAAAAAGAGTTATAGTCTGTATTTGTCTGTGTTGGATATGGCCTCTAATCATTCAAGGTCTGAGTCTAATTGATGTCCTGGAACAACCAGGCAGGTATAACTCCTGTGTTGGAGAGTGTATCATTGTTGTTAACTATATAGCTGGATTTGTAGATCTTATTTTTACCTTCATCGTTCCCATTACTGTCATTGTAGTTCTGTATATGAGAGTTTTTGTGGTGGCTGTGTCTCAGGCTCGTGCCATGCGGTCACATATTGCAGCTGTCACACTCCAGAAATCAGTGAAAGTAACTGCTAAAAAATCTGAAATGAAAGCAGCCAGGGCTCTTGGTGTTGTTGTAGTTGTGTTTCTAATATGTATCTGCCCATATTATTGTGTTGCTATTACAGGCCAAGATAACTTACTCAATGTTTCATCTGTTGGCTTGATAATATGTTTGCTGTGTTTAAACTCCTGTCTAAACCCCATGATCTATGCCTTTTTTTATCCCTGGTTTAGAAAATCCATTAAGCTCATTGTTACATTAAAGATACTGCAGCCTGACTCCTGTGAGACCAACATACTGTAGAGAGACTCTGTGTAATGCCTGAGATTTGTCTTTGCATTAATAGAAAAATTTACTTGGTCATGGAAATTGCCATTCTGTTTATTAATATAACAGTGGAGCTATTTGGGGTTTGTCCATCTGCATGTATTTTGGACAAATCACCACGTCTAGGATTCACTGTACAGTCTGTAGGTATCAGGACTGTGACACATTTTTGTTATGCTGACTGTATGCTTAAGCACAGTGGATGTGGAAGTTTTATATCCACATTAAAAGAAAAGTGTAGGCAGTTGTACCCTGTATTATACATGACTGAAGTCTGGGACCCACAGACATTAGCCGATACTTTGTATTGTATCTACCTGGAGATGTTGTGCCAGGCCTGTAATGCAGCCATTTTGTATGTGAACACCTTTAAATACAAGCCCATTTAAAGCTAAGAGTCAGCAATTAATAGTAACCTCAGAAGCTGAAGAAATACAGAATATATTTTTTATCATCATTAATTTGTGGCATACAGGCCAATTTAGCACAACCTTTGACTTATATTATATTGTCTTTTACTTGTTCTGATTTCTTGCATTGTACAGGCTAGAAGAGAAAAGTTAATGAAAAAAGAAGGATATACTATATATAATATACACTCCATCTGCAAGGAATTGTTTATCAGCTTCATAAATTAAAAAAGGTCCAGTGTGTAACATTTAGAAGGATCTATTGTCACAAACTGACAACAATGCCAGTAAATCTTTCACAGTGGACCTTTAACTAAGTGATTCCATAAAAAACTCCTGAATCCTGACAAACATACATATCACTCGCAGACCAAAAGTTAATGTCGCATACAGCCTTGGAATTGAACACAAATAATGTGAGCACCACTACAGTTTGCATATTTTCCCTAACAATGATGACAACGACAGTCTGCTAGTCGGCCCACCACTGTGGTCCAGAGTGAAATATCTCAACAACCCCTGATTGATTGCCATGAAGTTGTGTATTTACATTTAAGTTGTACAATTGGTGAGATAATGCATTGGTGACGCTTTTGACTCAAAGGTCAAGGTAATAGTGACCTCAAAATTAACTTGACGAACAGTTTTAGTCATAACCCTTACCTTTACACTACCCAAAAGGTGAAAGGTCATCTCCACTCTGAAATCATAATGTCCTGGAAAAATACTTTTTTGTTGTTTATTGTCATTCAACACCATAACTCTGGAAAAGAAGGAGAGATTGCAGTGTTATTTCACAGTCAGTGAAGGGCCTGCTGTATTTTTCCCTTGCTGTTGTCATGAATGCCTTGGGAGCACCTGGGCAGTCTCCCAGGGGCATTTAAGGTCCAGCTACCTGTCATTCACTCTCTCTTTGTTTCTCTGGCACCATGTTTCTGTTTGGTTGGACTCTGCCTGGTTATTAGTTGGATTTTGCACCTTACTACACCCTCACCCATCACTTATTCCCTCATGCACCTACTGACACGCTGATGTTACTGATTATCACATCTTATTGTTTTCAACATATTTCCTGTATATTATTTGAGTTGCATTATGGTTAAGTTAAACAATGGTACATCTTTAAGTTTAAAACAGTTTAAAGTTTAAAAGAGAGATTGAAGCGTTATTTCACAGTTATTGAAGGGCCTGCTGTATATTTCCTTTGCCCTGGGAGAACCTGGGCCGTCTCCCAGGGGCATTTAAGGTCCAGCCGTCCCGTTATTCACTCTCTCTTTGTTTCTCCGGCACCATGTTTCTGTTTGGTTGGACTCTGTCTGGTTATTAGTTGGATTCTGCAACTTACTACACCCTCACCCATCACTTATTTACTTATACAACTACTGACACACTGATATTACTAACTACCACATCTCATTATTAGTCTCTTCAGTATATTTCCTGTATGTTATTTGAGTTGCATTATGGTTAAGTTATACAATGGTACATGTTTAAGTTTAAAACTGTTTCCCTCCTATTTATGCATGGTCCACAAGACGGGTAATGACAGCCGGTCACTTTTGACTTAAAGGTCAAAGGTCATTTTGACCTAAAAATAGGTTTTTAGCCATAATTTAAGAATGGATTGGTCGATTGCAGATTTCAAACACACACGCTGACTGGGACGACACAATAAGTGAGCAATAACTAACACAGTATGGGCTTTCATCTTTCCACCTTATCCATTCTCCTATTCACTTCTGTAGGTGCTATGATAAATCACAGTGGTACCATACAGTGGTGTAATTGTAGCGTAATCAATTAATTTTGGTCCTCATTATAATAGAAAATGACTTTAATTAATATTAAAGTTCCTCGGGGCACCACCCTGAAATAAGGAAAAACTGTAGCCAATAATTAATTGATCAGTCTCATAAAAAACACTAAACTATTAATTCAGAAATTGGATTAACCCTAACCCATCGCGTGCCATCAAGCAGCATCAAGTAACGGTCACAGGAAGTGACCGAATGAGGTGACAGGAAGTGACCTGTCACAATAAAAGTCCAGTTAACCACACCAAATGAATGAGTTCTTATTTAAAGGCCCCCCTTTACCTTATACTTCCTGCCTCATTCTGAATTTCGAGTGTCATCTGAATCATGTGATTACAAACTTATTGGAGCGCGCCTAGCTGACGATGATCCTGGGAGTGAGTTATACCTACAGCTCATGTTCAGCTCAGGGATCATTTGCGTCTAAAAATGTCATGATAAAACAAAAGCACCACATTTTGTGTCTGTGCTTCTCAAGAATCCATCCCTACGTAATAAACAAGTACACGTGTGATGTATATTCACTAGAATCATACATATCTTCAAAAAATTCCAGAAGTGAATTTGACATTAAAGTTTTGAGTTTTACAGATTTGGAGATTCCGCCTAAAACGTCCTTTACTAAAACCTCTGTAACTTTGCTTTGCTTCACTGTATTAAAATCAATCTTGGCACAGGTAATGTTCAGATATTACAATAATAAAAGTACAATGCAATCACACAAAATGAACAAATTGGTATTTAAAGGTCCCAGTGATTCCAACATATATTAGCTCAGGAGAGCTCAACTTTCAACACAGTTTAAATGGACAATTAACTCTAAATGACACCTTTACTTCATACATCATATTTAGTGAAAGAGACAGGTCATGTGCTGAGAATGGGATTGGGCAGAGGTGAAGAGGAAGGAGGTGTAGACAGGGAGGATAGAGATAAATCAGTTGTGTGACAAAAAGGTTTGGTCATAAAGCTGCCAGAGCTCTGTGCTGATGGAGACCTTGGAGGGAAGTGAACTCTGCTTTCCACAACTCCTCAACACCTCCTGCAGGAAGATTGGGGGTGCTCACTTTGAGACCATGCTGATTAACATTCTGCTGTCCTCCATCTCTCTGATCACTGCAGTTCTTAACCTGCTGGTCATCATCTCTATCTCCCACTTCAAGTAGATAATCATTCATTTATGAAATGGACAGAAAGTAAAAAAAAAAAAATTTGGCTGATCTTAGGAAAAGAATAATTTTCGAACTAATCTAATTATATTTCAGTCTTTGCTCTATCTGTTTCTGTTTAAACAATGATTGATATTATAACTAATGATAACTATATTGCTGGTCTTCCTCTCCAGGCAGCTCCACACCCCCACCAACTTCATCCTCCTCTCTCTGGCTGTCTCAGATTTCTTCATGGGTTTCGTAATGTGCTTTCAAATGATGTACTTAGATGGCTGCTGGTTCTTTGGTGACCTCATGTGTGCATTTGGTCAGTATCTAGTATACGTAGTTACCTCTGCCTCAGTTGGAACCATGGTGATTATATCTGTTGACCGTTATGTTGCTATTTGTCATCCTCTGCATTACTCCACCAAAGTCACAGAAAAAAGAGTTATAGTCTGTATTTGTCTGTGTTGGATATGGCCTCTAATCATTCAAGGTCTGAGTCTAATTGATGTCCTGGAACAACCAGGCAGGTATAACTCCTGTGTTGGAGAGTGTATCATTGTTGTTAACTATATAGCTGGATTTGTAGATCTTATTTTTACCTTCATCGTTCCCATTACTGTCATTGTAGTTCTGTATATGAGAGTTTTTGTGGTGGCTGTGTCTCAGGCTCGTGCCATGCGGTCACATATTGCAGCTGTCACACTCCAGAAATCAGTGAAAGTAACTGCTAAAAAATCTGAAATGAAAGCAGCCAGGGCTCTTGGTGTTGTTGTAGTTGTGTTTCTAATATGTATCTGCCCATATTATTGTGTTGCTATTACAGGCCAAGATAACTTACTCAATGTTTCATCTGTTGGCTTGATAATATGTTTGCTGTGTTTAAACTCCTGTCTAAACCCCATGATCTATGCCTTTTTTTATCCCTGGTTTAGAAAATCCATTAAGCTCATTGTTACATTAAAGATACTGCAGCCTGACTCCTGTGAGACCAACATACTGTAGAGAGACTCTGTGTAATGCCTGAGATTTGTCTTTGCATTAATAGAAAAATTTACTTGGTCATGGAAATTGCCATTCTGTTTATTAATATAACAGTGGAGCTATTTGGGGTTTGTCCATCTGCATGTATTTTGGACAAATCACCACGTCTAGGATTCACTGTACAGTCTGTAGGTATCAGGACTGTGACACATTTTTGTTATGCTGACTGTATGCTTAAGCACAGTGGATGTGGAAGTTTTATATCCACATTAAAAGAAAAGTGTAGGCAGTTGTACCCTGTATTATACATGACTGAAGTCTGGGACCCACAGACATTAGCCGATACTTTGTATTGTATCTACCTGGAGATGTTGTGCCAGGCCTGTAATGCAGCCATTTTGTATGTGAACACCTTTAAATACAAGCCCATTTAAAGCTAAGAGTCAGCAATTAATAGTAACCTCAGAAGCTGAAGAAATACAGAATATATTTTTTATCATCATTAATTTGTGGCATACAGGCCAATTTAGCACAACCTTTGACTTATATTATATTGTCTTTTACTTGTTCTGATTTCTTGCATTGTACAGGCTAGAAGAGAAAAGTTAATGAAAAAAGAAGGATATACTATATATAATATACACTCCATCTGCAAGGAATTGTTTATCAGCTTCATAAATTAAAAAAGGTCCAGTGTGTAACATTTAGAAGGATCTATTGTCACAAACTGACAACAATGCCAGTAAATCTTTCACAGTGGACCTTTAACTAAGTGATTCCATAAAAAACTCCTGAATCCTGACAAACATACATATCACTCGCAGACCAAAAGTTAATGTCGCATACAGCCTTGGAATTGAACACAAATAATGTGAGCACCACTACAGTTTGCATATTTTCCCTAACAATGATGACAACGACAGTCTGCTAGTCGGCCCACCACTGTGGTCCAGAGTGAAATATCTCAACAACCCCTGATTGATTGCCATGAAGTTGTGTATTTACATTTAAGTTGTACAATTGGTGAGATAATGCATTGGTGACGCTTTTGACTCAAAGGTCAAGGTAATAGTGACCTCAAAATTAACTTGACGAACAGTTTTAGTCATAACCCTTACCTTTACACTACCCAAAAGGTGAAAGGTCATCTCCACTCTGAAATCATAATGTCCTGGAAAAATACTTTTTTGTTGTTTATTGTCATTCAACACCATAACTCTGGAAAAGAAGGAGAGATTGCAGTGTTATTTCACAGTCAGTGAAGGGCCTGCTGTATTTTTCCCTTGCTGTTGTCATGAATGCCTTGGGAGCACCTGGGCAGTCTCCCAGGGGCATTTAAGGTCCAGCTACCTGTCATTCACTCTCTCTTTGTTTCTCTGGCACCATGTTTCTGTTTGGTTGGACTCTGCCTGGTTATTAGTTGGATTTTGCACCTTACTACACCCTCACCCATCACTTATTCCCTCATGCACCTACTGACACGCTGATGTTACTGATTATCACATCTTATTGTTTTCAACATATTTCCTGTATATTATTTGAGTTGCATTATGGTTAAGTTAAACAATGGTACATCTTTAAGTTTAAAACAGTTTAAAGTTTAAAAGAGAGATTGAAGCGTTATTTCACAGTTATTGAAGGGCCTGCTGTATATTTCCTTTGCCCTGGGAGAACCTGGGCCGTCTCCCAGGGGCATTTAAGGTCCAGCCGTCCCGTTATTCACTCTCTCTTTGTTTCTCCGGCACCATGTTTCTGTTTGGTTGGACTCTGTCTGGTTATTAGTTGGATTCTGCAACTTACTACACCCTCACCCATCACTTATTTACTTATACAACTACTGACACACTGATATTACTAACTACCACATCTCATTATTAGTCTCTTCAGTATATTTCCTGTATGTTATTTGAGTTGCATTATGGTTAAGTTATACAATGGTACATGTTTAAGTTTAAAACTGTTTCCCTCCTATTTATGCATGGTCCACAAGACGGGTAATGACAGCCGGTCACTTTTGACTTAAAGGTCAAAGGTCATTTTGACCTAAAAATAGGTTTTTAGCCATAATTTAAGAATGGATTGGTCGATTGCAGATTTCAAACACACACGCTGACTGGGACGACACAATAAGTGAGCAATAACTAACACAGTATGGGCTTTCATCTTTCCACCTTATCCATTCTCCTATTCACTTCTGTAGGTGCTATGATAAATCACAGTGGTACCATACAGTGGTGTAATTGTAGCGTAATCAATTAATTTTGGTCCTCATTATAATAGAAAATGACTTTAATTAATATTAAAGTTCCTCGGGGCACCACCCTGAAATAAGGAAAAACTGTAGCCAATAATTAATTGATCAGTCTCATAAAAAACACTAAACTATTAATTCAGAAATTGGATTAACCCTAACCCATCGCGTGCCATCAAGCAGCATCAAGTAACGGTCACAGGAAGTGACCGAATGAGGTGACAGGAAGTGACCCGTCACAATAAAAGTCCAGTTAACCACACCAAATGAATGAGTTCATATTTAAAGGCCCCCCTTTACCTTATACTTCCTGCCTCATTCTGAATTTCGAGTGTCATCTGAATCATGTGATTACAAACTTATTGGAGCGCGCCTAGCTGACGATGATCCTGGGAGTGAGTTATACCTACAGCTCATGTTCAGCTCAGGGATCATTTGCGTCTAAAAATGTCATGATAAAACAAAAGCACCACATTTTGTGTCTGTGCTTCTCAAGAATCCATCCCTACGTAATAAACAAGTACACGTGTGATGTATATTCACTAGAATCATACATATCTTCAAAAAATTCCAGAAGTGAATTTGACATTAAAGTTTTGAGTTTTACAGATTTGGAGATTCCGCCTAAAACGTCCTTTACTAAAACCTCTGTAACTTTGCTTTGCTTCACTGTATTAAAATCAATCTTGGCACAGGTAATGTTCAGATATTACAATAATAAAAGTACAATGCAATCACACAAAATGAACAAATTGGTATTTAAAGGTCCCAGTGATTCCAACATATATTAGCTCAGGAGAGCTCAACTTTCAACACAGTTTAAATGGACAATTAACTCTAAATGACACCTTTACTTCATACATCATATTTCGTGAAAGAGACAGGTCATGTGCTGAGAATGGGATTGGGCAGAGGTGAAGAGGAAGGAGGTGTAGACAGGGAGGATAGAGATAAATCAGTTGTATGACAAAAAGGTTTGGTCATAAAGCTGCCAGAGCTCTGTGCTGATGGAGACCTTGGAGGGAAGTGAACTCTGCTTTCCACAACTCCTCAACACCTCCTGCAGGAAGATTGGGGGTGCTCACTTTGAGACCATGCTGATTAACATTCTGCTGTCCTCCATCTCTCTGATCACTGCAGTTCTTAACCTGCTGGTCATCATCTCTATCTCCCACTTCAAGTAGATAATCATTCATTTATGAAATGGACAGAAAGTAAAAAAAAAAAAATTTGGCTGATCTTAGGAAAAGAATAATTTTCGAACTAATCTAATTATATTTCAGTCTTTGCTCTATCTGTTTCTGTTTAAACAATGATTGATATTATAACTAATGATAACTATATTGCTGGTCTTCCTCTCCAGGCAGCTCCACACCCCCACCAACTTCATCCTCCTCTCTCTGGCTGTCTCAGATTTCTTCATGGGTTTCGTAATGTGCTTTCAAATGATGTACTTAGATGGCTGCTGGTTCTTTGGTGACCTCATGTGTGCATTTGGTCAGTATCTAGTATACGTAGTTACCTCTGCCTCAGTTGGAACCATGGTGATTATATCTGTTGACCGTTATGTTGCTATTTGTCATCCTCTGCATTACTCCACCAAAGTCACAGAAAAAAGAGTTATAGTCTGTATTTGTCTGTGTTGGATATGGCCTCTAATCATTCAAGGTCTGAGTCTAATTGATGTCCTGGAACAACCAGGCAGGTATAACTCCTGTGTTGGAGAGTGTATCATTGTTGTTAACTATATAGCTGGATTTGTAGATCTTATTTTTACCTTCATCGTTCCCATTACTGTCATTGTAGTTCTGTATATGAGAGTTTTTGTGGTGGCTGTGTCTCAGGCTCGTGCCATGCGGTCACATATTGCAGCTGTCACACTCCAGAAATCAGTGAAAGTAACTGCTAAAAAATCTGAAATGAAAGCAGCCAGGGCTCTTGGTGTTGTTGTAGTTGTGTTTCTAATATGTATCTGCCCATATTATTGTGTTGCTATTACAGGCCAAGATAACTTACTCAATGTTTCATCTGTTGGCTTGATAATATGTTTGCTGTGTTTAAACTCCTGTCTAAACCCCATGATCTATGCCTTTTTTTATCCCTGGTTTAGAAAATCCATTAAGCTCATTGTTACATTAAAGATACTGCAGCCTGACTCCTGTGAGACCAACATACTGTAGAGAGACTCTGTGTAATGCCTGAGATTTGTCTTTGCATTAATAGAAAAATTTACTTGGTCATGGAAATTGCCATTCTGTTTATTAATATAACAGTGGAGCTATTTGGGGTTTGTCCATCTGCATGTATTTTGGACAAATCACCACGTCTAGGATTCACTGTACAGTCTGTAGGTATCAGGACTGTGACACATTTTTGTTATGCTGACTGTATGCTTAAGCACAGTGGATGTGGAAGTTTTATATCCACATTAAAAGAAAAGTGTAGGCAGTTGTACCCTGTATTATACATGACTGAAGTCTGGGACCCACAGACATTAGCCGATACTTTGTATTGTATCTACCTGGAGATGTTGTGCCAGGCCTGTAATGCAGCCATTTTGTATGTGAACACCTTTAAATACAAGCCCATTTAAAGCTAAGAGTCAGCAATTAATAGTAACCTCAGAAGCTGAAGAAATACAGAATATATTTTTTATCATCATTAATTTGTGGCATACAGGCCAATTTAGCACAACCTTTGACTTATATTATATTGTCTTTTACTTGTTCTGATTTCTTGCATTGTACAGGCTAGAAGAGAAAAGTTAATGAAAAAAGAAGGATATACTATATATAATATACACTCCATCTGCAAGGAATTGTTTATCAGCTTCATAAATTAAAAAGGTCCAGTGTGTAACATTTAGAAGGATCTATTGTCACAAACTGACAACAATGCCAGTAAATCTTTCACAGTGGACCTTTAACTAAGTGATTCCATAAAAAACTCCTGAATCCTGACAAACATACATATCACTCGCAGACCAAAAGTTAATGTCGCATACAGCCTTGGAATTGAACACAAATAATGTGAGCACCACTACAGTTTGCATATTTTCCCTAACAATGATGACAACGACAGTCTGCTAGTCGGCCCACCACTGTGGTCCAGAGTGAAATATCTCAACAACCCCTGATTGATTGCCATGAAGTTGTGTATTTACATTTAAGTTGTACAATTGGTGAGATAATGCATTGGTGACGCTTTTGACTCAAAGGTCAAGGTAATAGTGACCTCAAAATTAACTTGACGAACAGTTTTAGTCATAACCCTTACCTTTACACTACCCAAAAGGTGAAAGGTCATCTCCACTCTGAAATCATAATGTCCTGGAAAAATACTTTTTTGTTGTTTATTGTCATTCAACACCATAACTCTGGAAAAGAAGGAGAGATTGCAGTGTTATTTCACAGTCAGTGAAGGGCCTGCTGTATTTTTCCCTTGCTGTTGTCATGAATGCCTTGGGAGCACCTGGGCAGTCTCCCAGGGGCATTTAAGGTCCAGCTACCTGTCATTCACTCTCTCTTTGTTTCTCTGGCACCATGTTTCTGTTTGGTTGGACTCTGCCTGGTTATTAGTTGGATTTTGCACCTTACTACACCCTCACCCATCACTTATTCCCTCATGCACCTACTGACACGCTGATGTTACTGATTATCACATCTTATTGTTTTCAACATATTTCCTGTATATTATTTGAGTTGCATTATGGTTAAGTTAAACAATGGTACATCTTTAAGTTTAAAACAGTTTAAAGTTTAAAAGAGAGATTGAAGCGTTATTTCACAGTTATTGAAGGGCCTGCTGTATATTTCCTTTGCCCTGGGAGAACCTGGGCCGTCTCCCAGGGGCATTTAAGGTCCAGCCGTCCCGTTATTCACTCTCTCTTTGTTTCTCCGGCACCATGTTTCTGTTTGGTTGGACTCTGTCTGGTTATTAGTTGGATTCTGCAACTTACTACACCCTCACCCATCACTTATTTACTTATACAACTACTGACACACTGATATTACTAACTACCACATCTCATTATTAGTCTCTTCAGTATATTTCCTGTATGTTATTTGAGTTGCATTATGGTTAAGTTATACAATGGTACATGTTTAAGTTTAAAACTGTTTCCCTCCTATTTATGCATGGTCCACAAGACGGGTAATGACAGCCGGTCACTTTTGACTTAAAGGTCAAAGGTCATTTTGACCTAAAAATAGGTTTTTAGCCATAATTTAAGAATGGATTGGTCGATTGCAGATTTCAAACACACACGCTGACTGGGACGACACAATAAGTGAGCAATAACTAACACAGTATGGGCTTTCATCTTTCCACCTTATCCATTCTCCTATTCACTTCTGTAGGTGCTATGATAAATCACAGTGGTACCATACAGTGGTGTAATTGTAGCGTAATCAATTAATTTTGGTCCTCATTATAATAGAAAATGACTTTAATTAATATTAAAGTTCCTCGGGGCACCACCCTGAAATAAGGAAAAACTGTAGCCAATAATTAATTGATCAGTCTCATAAAAAACACTAAACTATTAATTCAGAAATTGGATTAACCCTAACCCATCGCGTGCCATCAAGCAGCATCAAGTAACGGTCACAGGAAGTGACCGAATGAGGTGACAGGAAGTGACCTGTCACAATAAAAGTCCAGTTAACCACACCAAATGAATGAGTTCTTATTTAAAGGCCCCCCTTTACCTTATACTTCCTGCCTCATTCTGAATTTCGAGTGTCATCTGAATCATGTGATTACAAACTTATTGGAGCGCGCCTAGCTGACGATGATCCTGGGAGTGAGTTATACCTACAGCTCATGTTCAGCTCAGGGATCATTTGCGTCTAAAAATGTCATGATAAAACAAAAGCACCACATTTTGTGTCTGTGCTTCTCAAGAATCCATCCCTACGTAATAAACAAGTACACGTGTGATGTATATTCACTAGAATCATACATATCTTCAAAAAATTCCAGAAGTGAATTTGACATTAAAGTTTTGAGTTTTACAGATTTGGAGATTCCGCCTAAAACGTCCTTTACTAAAACCTCTGTAACTTTGCTTTGCTTCACTGTATTAAAATCAATCTTGGCACAGGTAATGTTCAGATATTACAATAATAAAAGTACAATGCAATCACACAAAATGAACAAATTGGTATTTAAAGGTCCCAGTGATTCCAACATATATTAGCTCAGGAGAGCTCAACTTTCAACACAGTTTAAATGGACAATTAACTCTAAATGACACCTTTACTTCATACATCATATTTAGTGAAAGAGACAGGTCATGTGCTGAGAATGGGATTGGGCAGAGGTGAAGAGGAAGGAGGTGTAGACAGGGAGGATAGAGATAAATCAGTTGTGTGACAAAAAGGTTTGGTCATAAAGCTGCCAGAGCTCTGTGCTGATGGAGACCTTGGAGGGAAGTGAACTCTGCTTTCCACAACTCCTCAACACCTCCTGCAGGAAGATTGGGGGTGCTCACTTTGAGACCATGCTGATTAACATTCTGCTGTCCTCCATCTCTCTGATCACTGCAGTTCTTAACCTGCTGGTCATCATCTCTATCTCCCACTTCAAGTAGATAATCATTCATTTATGAAATGGACAGAAAGTAAAAAAAAAAAAAAATTTGGCTGATCTTAGGAAAAGAATAATTTTCGAACTAATCTAATTATATTTCAGTCTTTGCTCTATCTGTTTCTGTTTAAACAATGATTGATATTATAACTAATGATAACTATATTGCTGGTCTTCCTCTCCAGGCAGCTCCACACCCCCACCAACTTCATCCTCCTCTCTCTGGCTGTCTCAGATTTCTTCATGGGTTTCGTAATGTGCTTTCAAATGATGTACTTAGATGGCTGCTGGTTCTTTGGTGACCTCATGTGTGCATTTGGTCAGTATCTAGTATACGTAGTTACCTCTGCCTCAGTTGGAACCATGGTGATTATATCTGTTGACCGTTATGTTGCTATTTGTCATCCTCTGCATTACTCCACCAAAGTCACAGAAAAAAGAGTTATAGTCTGTATTTGTCTGTGTTGGATATGGCCTCTAATCATTCAAGGTCTGAGTCTAATTGATGTCCTGGAACAACCAGGCAGGTATAACTCCTGTGTTGGAGAGTGTATCATTGTTGTTAACTATATAGCTGGATTTGTAGATCTTATTTTTACCTTCATCGTTCCCATTACTGTCATTGTAGTTCTGTATATGAGAGTTTTTGTGGTGGCTGTGTCTCAGGCTCGTGCCATGCGGTCACATATTGCAGCTGTCACACTCCAGAAATCAGTGAAAGTAACTGCTAAAAAATCTGAAATGAAAGCAGCCAGGGCTCTTGGTGTTGTTGTAGTTGTGTTTCTAATATGTATCTGCCCATATTATTGTGTTGCTATTACAGGCCAAGATAACTTACTCAATGTTTCATCTGTTGGCTTGATAATATGTTTGCTGTGTTTAAACTCCTGTCTAAACCCCATGATCTATGCCTTTTTTATCCCTGGTTTAGAAAATCCATTAAGCTCATTGTTACATTAAAGATACTGCAGCCTGACTCCTGTGAGACCAACATACTGTAGAGAGACTCTGTGTAATGCCTGAGATTTGTCTTTGCATTAATAGAAAAATTTACTTGGTCATGGAAATTGCCATTCTGTTTATTAATATAACAGTGGAGCTATTTGGGGTTTGTCCATCTGCATGTATTTTGGACAAATCACCACGTCTAGGATTCACTGTACAGTCTGTAGGTATCAGGACTGTGACACATTTTTGTTATGCTGACTGTATGCTTAAGCACAGTGGATGTGGAAGTTTTATATCCACATTAAAAGAAAAGTGTAGGCAGTTGTACCCTGTATTATACATGACTGAAGTCTGGGACCCACAGACATTAGCCGATACTTTGTATTGTATCTACCTGGAGATGTTGTGCCAGGCCTGTAATGCAGCCATTTTGTATGTGAACACCTTTAAATACAAGCCCATTTAAAGCTAAGAGTCAGCAATTAATAGTAACCTCAGAAGCTGAAGAAATACAGAATATATTTTTTATCATCATTAATTTGTGGCATACAGGCCAATTTAGCACAACCTTTGACTTATATTATATTGTCTTTTACTTGTTCTGATTTCTTGCATTGTACAGGCTAGAAGAGAAAAGTTAATGAAAAAAGAAGGATATACTATATATAATATACACTCCATCTGCAAGGAATTGTTTATCAGCTTCATAAATTAAAAAAGGTCCAGTGTGTAACATTTAGAAGGATCTATTGTCACAAACTGACAACAATGCCAGTAAATCTTTCACAGTGGACCTTTAACTAAGTGATTCCATAAAAAACTCCTGAATCCTGACAAACATACATATCACTCGCAGACCAAAAGTTAATGTCGCATACAGCCTTGGAATTGAACACAAATAATGTGAGCACCACTACAGTTTGCATATTTTCCCTAACAATGATGACAACGACAGTCTGCTAGTCGGCCCACCACTGTGGTCCAGAGTGAAATATCTCAACAACCCCTGATTGATTGCCATGAAGTTGTGTATTTACATTTAAGTTGTACAATTGGTGAGAT